GAGGCAGTGTGTATGTGGCTAATCAAGGCCAAATGCCGGGTCACGCACTTGGCTCACAACCCCCCCATGCAACGCTACAGGCTTGGGGAGGAGTGGCAGGAAAGCTGCCTGGTGGGAAAGGACTTTGGGGTGCTGGTCAACAGCCGGCTGAGCATGAGCCGGCAGTGTGCCCAGGTGGCCAAGCAGGGCAACGGCATCCTGGCTTGTATCAGGAACAGTGTGGTTAGTGAAAGTACGGTGGTGATCGTGCCCCTGTACTCAGTACTGGTGAGGCCGCACCGTGAGTAGTCTGTTCAGATTTGAGCCCCTCACTACAAGAAAGACATTGAGGTGCTGGAGCATGTCCAGAGAAGGGCAACGAGGCTGGTGAGGGGTCTGGAGAAGAAGTCTTAGGAGGAGCGGCTGAGGGAACTGGGGCTGTTTAGTCTGGAGAAGAGGAGGCTGAGGGGGGACCAGATTGCTCTTTACGACTACTTGAAAGCAGGTGATAGTGAGACAGGTGTTGGTCTCTTCTACCAGGTAACTAGCGATATGATGAGAGGCAATGGCCTCAAGTTGCGTCAGGGGAGGTTTAGATGAGATATTAGGAAAAATTTCTTTACTGAAAGAGTGGTCAGACATTGGAATACGCTGCCCAGGGAGGAGGTTCAGTCACCATCCCTCGAGGTGTTTATAAAACATGTAGATGTGGCATTTCGGGATATGGTTTAGTTGGCATGGTGTTGTTGGGCAAATGGTTGGACTTGATGATCTTTCCAATCTATGATTCTGTGATTTTATGATTTGTCTGAATGTCACATACATGTCGTTCATATTTGCAGCTGTAAAGAGAAAGACATTCACAGACATGTTTCCTTACTGTGTTACTGGAAGAAAGCTCTTGCTTGTCACATACAGATGGTGGAAGTCAAGTATTTTCTATGATAAGAAGAAATTATCTGTGCAACATTTCTTTTAATGGAGTATATTTGCACATTTGGAAGGTCAATGACAACGATGCTCTCTGTGAAGATTTTGAGGATAGTCTTTGGGGTGCCGTGTGTGAGGAGGCACAGAGGGAGACAAGGCATGTGTTCTGGTAATTCCCAGGCTTCTGTGGTGGTCTACATAAACTGAGGGTGATGGAGTCTCAGTTTTGGACATCACAGTGCTCAGATTCCAACTGGCCAAGTGGTGGGTTCATCACTTTGCTTTCCTGTGGTATGATATTTCCCATGAAAGGTAGTTCGTGAGCATAGGCATACACTTTACATTCAGATTTAATCTGTCAACAGATGAATTGTCTTCCAGGTTGCCCAGTGTGCTGAAGTAGAACGATGGTCCCTCTGAGGTGATACTCTGACGCCTGATTCTTTATTGGATCTGTATTTTGCTTATGCACTCGAGAACATTTTCTGTTTCTTTATTTCAGTAGTATGGACAGAGAAATCTCTTTGCATGCTTCCCTGTTGTGACTCTTGTTCTCTGTAAGGAGAAGAGTGGTGTGCACTACATTTCTGATAGACATTTTATGTCTTTCTGCACAGTGAGTTTGCCTGTTGGGTGATGTTCGGGTCCGGTGAGGAATCCTGTCTGTACAATGCAGAGGCAGGAATTTGCTGTGTTATAGTTGGAAATTTCTGAAAGATACATGCACAAGTTCATTTTATTGTCGTTGTTATATGAGGCCCATAGTTGTGGTTCCATGTGTTTTCAGATTTTTGCTTTCCAAAGAATTTACCTTGAGGAGCTGTGGCTATGGTCTTTGTTGCGAGCATCTCTTTGAGCCTCCTGTGAATTTACTACCACCTAGATACCCTTCTTGCATACATCCCACTGTTGACATAATCTGAAATGTTAAGCTATGATTCCTTCACTTCTGCAGGTTTCTCATTCTTACATCTATGAGTTTTTCTTGGTCCAGGGCCTCATTGTGGCTGGTAAAGTTTAAAACAGTAAAAGATTTCTCATAGTTGTTGGGCTGGGGGAGCAGTTTCCATCCATCCCTTGAAGGTGTTCAGCTGTCAAGACAAAGACTTTGCCAACTGCCTATTCGCTCCCTACTAAATAACTGGGTTATTTATCTTCTCTGAGTGCCGGTATCTAGATGAGTATGTTGTGATTCCTGTCTTTCTGCATGTGTTAACTTCTTGCCTTCCTCATTGCTATGATCTGAAAGTGAGTCTTTGTATCTGCTGGCAGAAATGCCCTTACTTGTCACATACATATGCTGAGAAGTCAAAAATTATCTACTGTAAGGAGAAGTTGTCTGTGCAGCTATTCTTTGGGTGGAGTCTGTCTGCTAATTTGGAAGATTAACAAGAACCATGCAACCTGCAAAGACTTTCAGAGCCTTGGGGGTGCTGTGTATGAGGAGGTGCTGGTAGAGAGAAGACACGTGCTGTGAGTTCATCAGTTTGCTTTCCTATTGCCTGCTGTTCCATGTGAATGGTAGTTAAATTCTTGTCTTGCTTGTTGGAGAAAGGTAAAAGTGGGCCTGTGTGTGTCTGCCAGCACGTCTAAAATTCAGCTGGAAGCAATGTTCTTGCTTGTCAGATAACCCGTGGTGAGAAGTCAGTGAAAGATCAGTGAGAGACTGGCCTTGAAGGAAGAATAGAGAGGCTTGTGTGCTCCATCTGGCTGGGTGGTAATTTAATATCAGACCTAGTGCCAAGGCCTCTCCCACCGTCGATAATGTCAGGAACAGACTAGGGGTCAGTGGGAGAACACGTGCAGGGTGTCTCCCACGCAGTCACCCAAAACGTGCTAGGCACTCTTTGGAGAGATATGGACTCTAAGATGGATAAGGAACTGGCTGGATGGCCACATCCAGGGAGTTCTAGTCAATGCCTCAATGTCGAAGTGGAAACCAGTAATGTGTGGTGTCCCCCAAGGGTCTATACTTGGACCAGTTGTATTTAATATATCTCAACAATATCTTCATCAATGACAAAGACAGTGGGAATGAGTACGGAGACACAAAAGAAGGAACTGTTTTGAATCAGCAACAAACTAAAAAAGGTTATTCTGTGATCTTAGCATTGATTGTACTTCTCCCTACAAGAAGCATCATCTGTGGGACAAAGGTCAGTGACTTCTATAAGCAAAAGAAAGAAATACTGGGAAGATGGAAAGCCTTTATATGCCTGACATGAAAGGATTGCAATGACTTTCCCTTCATTCTGTTTCTGATTACTAAATGATTACTTCAACATGAATCTTTCCTTCTTGGTATTACTCCCAGGTAAGAAGAGCAGAGTCGACAATAACCAACAGGGTGCTAACAAGCTCTGAAAGTCTTCTGTAGGTATAATATGGTGTCTTGCTCTCATAATTCCACCTTGATTTTATGAGGAGCAGCTGAGTCCTTTTATTTATTGCTCTGCCAGGAATATTGACTCCAGATACACCTTATCACTCAAGGAGATGACCTAAAATTGCCTGACAGAATAGCGCAGCTTTAAATGCCTTTGGAGACGCATCAAGACACTTGCTTGTATAGTTCCAAGGTTCTTGCTCTTAGAATTGCGTCCCCATTTTATTAAGAGCAGCTGACTTCCCTTACTTATGGCTCTGTCATGAAGATATCCTTCTGACTACTTGCAATATTCACTGGTACTTTAAACATCTACTGCAGGTAAAATCCTTTCAGTATGAGACTGCTGATGGCCTTAAAATGAGGAACGTTGCTGCTAAGAGCTAAGGTCGTGTCTCTGAAATGGTTCATTCTAATAAAAGAGAGATCCCGAAGCCGAGTGCCGGCACCGAACCCCGGTGAAAAGGCCGGGTCCCCGTGAGCGCGACCATCACCGGCTGCGGTGGCGTCGCGGCGCCTCCGGGTGC